GTCACCCACACTCAGGCAACAGATTCTCGCCGGTAACCATATTGACCTCCTTCACTGATTAATCCATCCTCACATAACCCCGCTCATTCCCAGAGAACTGCAAACTGCTCTTGGCCCTTTTGAACTTAAACACCCACTTCCTAACCACTCCAAAGAACCAACACCAGCCGCTGATCCTAGACCTAGCCTTGCGGTGCTGCGGCAACGGTTTCTATCATGATCCAATGCGACCCTCCTTAAACTGCAACCTTTGCGATGGAATTGCTTCAAAGCTTTTCATGCCTTCCACAACATACTATTCCCTTCTCTCAATGTCATAATCTGAGCTCGAACTCAAGCTTCATCGCTTTTGCCCATTTCAATCAAGAGAGATTAAATCTTCCACCTTACAGGTCTACATCAGCGAAATTAACTTCTTTACCAAATTGTCCATAGGGGTACCTTGCCTAGCTTTGTCCCACAACTACATTAGCATGCTAACTAAAGGCCTCCACAAGGCAGAACCACGTCCCTTGCCAAAACATCTGACCCCCACTTTAGACCTCTTAACCCGGGTTACCTCACTCCATACGCAGACAGAGTCATAGAATCCATGTTTCTACTAGCATTGTTTGGCTTCTTGTGCTGCTCAGAGTTCACTGCCTCCAACCTCCACTACCATCCGAGTCTAAATGCCACAATTGCCAAGATTTCCATACATTCCACAGACGCACTCATTTACCACCTCAAACACGGCAAAACCAACTAGTCCAGTCTACCACAACCCATCTACCTCTTCCGACATAGTTCATACCTCAGTCCGTATGAACTTATATGTCTCTATGTGGACTCGAGACTAGCCAGCCAAGCTTCCCCCCAAGATCCTCTGTTCGTCACAGAGATGGGGATAGTAGCCACACTCTTCTGGTTTCACTAACACCTTCATAATTAAAATCCTTGGCCGCTGGTCCTTACTAGTACACCTTACTTACATCCGCAATGACCTAAACAACGTCAGAGACACCCACACACACATTTCCACCTGAAGTTCTTTTGGAGGTTACGCACATCTGCCAACAAAGAGACTGCTCCCCCACTCAGAGTCTCGACTCCCACCGGTTCCCGCACATTTTCTCGCCAGCAGACACCAGTCTACTCTTCACTCCTGCATCTTTCACCCCTTCATCCCTCACCTGTCTTCCCCTCAACCCATCATCCACCACACTTTGACCTACCGCTCATCCCTCGACCCCCTATCCTATCCCTGCTGTCCTCCCTCCGGACACTCAATCTGTTCTTTTCATATAATCCCATCTCAGATCCATTACAAGCAATAAACCATCTGAAATCTACTTGTTAGTGAATCTACAATCTAAAATATTTCTTTCTCACAGCCTGAATTCCGGGCTCTAATCGAATCACTAAGATGTCGTCAACAAAAGTTAGCACGCTGTGTAAAATGTAAATAGAAACAAAATGTACTAAAACCCCACATACTTAATTGAGAATGGACCAACTATTTGAAATTGAAACTGAGGAATAGGATAGTTTTTGGATAATTAAATGCCCATTTTCAATTTGATGCCAACAACACAACAGCTTATGTTTACCACTCTGATGAATTACCTCTTCTTTTAACACTTTAAACATCTGGAAACTGAGGAGAGCAACTGCTGTAATCTGGAAGGCAGAATGTTTTCCCATTCTTGCTTTGTGTAGCATTTCAACAGTTTGTTGTAGTTTACATTTAACAATGCGCCAAACATTTTCAGTGGGTGAGAAGTTGGGACTGCAGGCATAGCACCCGGCTCTTTTACTACAGAGCCATGCTGTTGATACACATGCAGAATGTGGTTTGGCATGGTCTTGCTGAAATAAGCAAGGCCCTCCCTGAAAAGATGTCTTGTACTTGGCAGCATACGTTGCTTCAATACCTGTATTTATCATTCGGCATTAATGATGCCTTCACAAATGTGCAGGTTACCCATGCCATGTGCACTAATGCACCCCCATACCATCACAGATGCTGGATTTTCAACACACTCTTATCTCGATGTGTCATATCTGACGCTTTAAGACAGTGTGACAAAGCGTAAGTATTTTACGAAAAAGGTACCCTTCAGCGTCAGTATGAAACACCACCGTTTGCTACATCACAACAACACAAAAGAGCTCACCGGCTAACCCTGCATGCTAGCACATCGGCCGTGAGGCGACATGCATAAAGTCAGTGATTTAGGTTTAGGTACTAACATTTCTGATGGTTGTGGAAAGGGTAGGGGTCTGTCAACATCTTTAACATGAACATAGCTAGCTAGTACTTCCATTCTGAACGTAACACCTCAGAGCGTCTAATAGAGATGCATCCGGAAGCGTCTCTTTGAGACAATGAAGGGTACCTTTGGCGTCAAATAACTATATTTTGTATTATATTTTTCTGAAAGCGGGATTGGATGCCTTGAGATGAGAACGGTCTGGGCTTTTACACTGTGCACTCATAACAAGCCAGATGGTACCTCTCCTCTTTAGCCCCAAGGACACAGCATCTATGATTTTGAAATTGAATTTCAAATTTTGACATGTCAGACTACAGGACAGTTTAACACTTTGTCTCAGTCTATCTTACATGAGCTCAGACCCACAGAACGCGGCAGCGTTTCTGGATCTGTTCCTTCTTTGCATGATAAGAGTTTCAACTTGCATTTGGAGGCAGCAAAACACTGTGTTCACATTTTTTTGGTGTGTTCCTAAGAGTAATATTTCTGATGCAGTGAAATATACTATACTATAACTATAAGCAGGCTTTTGGAGGAGGAGATGGGACAGGAGGAAGAGTAGGAGGTGGTGGAGGCGGTGCAGGAGTAGGGCAGTTGAGGAGGGAGGAAGAGTAGGGAGGAGGATGAGGTGAGAAAGGAAGTGGAGGAAGTAGAGGGAGGAAGAATAGGTGGTGAAGGAGGTGGAGGACAACAATCTCTGGCCTGTCCCAGACCAAAGACAGGACACTGGGGCAGAATAATTTGTTGTTTGGTGTGTTGTACTGTAAAGTACACTAAGGAATAAGGAAGAAAAATGTGTGCAAATGTTTACATTTGTTATTGCCTTTGTAGTCATCATGTGAAAAGGTTTTTGAGGGGGAGAACCACAAGCAACATTACTTATAACCAGTTTTTGTAGTATTGTTTTGAATTTATCTCACCAGTGTGTAAAACTGTGTTGTAGTGTGTGTGTTTTTGAGAGCTTGTGTGTTATCTCTTAGGGCAAAGTTTGGTTTTTCAGAAAGATTGAATGGTTTTGCGTGGAAAGCTTAATTTTGACCTGAAAATAGGATGTTTGGGGAATGGGATGAGAAGTTTTAGATTTGTGTTTAGAGTTTCGAGAGAAAGAGGCATAATTTCAAGAAATGTGTTTAATTAATCGAGAAAAACTGCAATGACATGATGTACCGTAGAGTCTGAAATCCCCAGATTCTCTGCAATGTGTTATTGAGAAATTGAGATAGAGAGTGGAAGACCCTCTCCATCTTAAATCAGAACAACATATTCTCCCTCCCAGCTCACAACATATGGACTCGTGGACAAGAATCCCTTGCCGTCAATATTGAACGCCCTGGAGCATTGTTTCTAGAAGTGTTGGGCTCTGTTGTCAAGTTGTCAAATATGCAACATCTGTTTAAATTAGCAAGAATAAATATAAATAAATAAATATGCTTAATAATTAAAATAAAACTGCTAGGGACTGTGAATGGAATGTTATTTATTTTCTAAAACGTTGTGAAACATTGCAATTTGGTTATGTTTTGGCACATAAAGTACTTGGCTAGGTTTAAGCAACAAAACTCCTTATTTAGGTTTAGGCAACAAAACTACTTGGTTAGGTTTAGAAAATCATCATGGTTTGGCTTAACGCAAAGTTATTTGCGTAAATTTAGGTAAATGCTCACTGTGGACTTTGTTTCATTTGAACACTGATGTCCTGCTTAAAAGTCCAGTTTCTGGTCCATGCTTGGACTTTACTGTTAAAGTCCAAGCAAAGTCAATCTGTTAATAATATACACTTACTTTTAGCCTTAAAAAAAAAAAAAAAAACGTATCTATGGGGCTCCCCTGTGCATTACAATTTTATACCCAATCATGCATAGATATAATATACATAGACGCCCTATCGACCGCTACTGCCTACTGGCGCGACGAGCCGTGGGGCCGCCGCCTTGAACCGGTCACACACTCCACTCAGTGTAATCTGTTTGGCAGGTACGCGTTTGTGGATTTCAGTCATACACTTTCCATCTCCAGGCAGAAAGAAATTCCTCAATAGGATTGAGGAACGGAGAATATGGAGGGAGATAAACAACTAAAAAGTGTGGGTGGGCAGTGAACCAGTTACGAACCAGAGCAGCCCAGTAGAAACTTACGTTGTCCCAAGATGAGCTGCTCTGGGCCGTCTACCCGATCTTATCTGATCTGGTGGAATGAGTGTGTTGTGTAGGGTGTCCAGGAATGTGATCAGATGGGCGGTGTTGTAGGGGCCAAGGGTAGCATGGTGAAGATGAACTGGTGCTCCACCGCAGCCACCTCTAGCTCAAGGACTCTCTGAAACACACATGACAATATCAGAAATAGACATGGAGTGGTCACTCTTGTGAAGCACAATCATTATGATTACAATATTGAAATATGTATAATTTACTGTATACAGTGTTGAGAGTATGCATCAATTGTGGGACTCACTTGCAGTATTTTTACAGTCCTACAGAACAGTCCACAGGCAATACTGTACTACTGTACTCATTGAGTACTGTATTGATATGCAGTACTGCAATTTGCTAGTGAGAGTAGATTTCTTACCTATTCTCATTTCGGAAAGTCCGGATAATGGATGCTACAGGGTACCTGCTCAGATTTGGCAGTACTCTTTGCCCAGACTCCCTCATTGTTAGACCATGGTTGACCACATGATCAACCAAAGTGGCTCGGATCTCATCAGAGATTACGGGCCTTGGCCTTGACCTTGACCTTGACCTTGACCTTGGCTGTCCCCGTCCCCGTCCTCGTCCTCGTCTGGCTCTGCCTCTGTTTCCAATGTTGGCATCCATTGCTCCATTGAAGAGCTCACCTGTTGCCTTTTATGCTAAAGCTCTGATTGCTAATTGGAAAACGGTGTGACGGGTGTTTGCCCTTGTGATGAGTCAGTGTGCATATTTGAATGGCAGTGTGTTCCTTGTGAAAACAAGATATTTTCTGCATGAAACTTGTGCCAAAAGCAGGAATTGTGCTTGTAGTTTAGCAGAATTGGTTCAGGGGGTTGGTGAATGTGTTACATGTTGTGGTCATTGTGTCTCAAGTACCAGAATTTGTGTGTAAACAATTGAGAAAAACTGTAATATTCATAGTGGGCTTAACAGTAATAGAATATTCTGATATATGATATAAAGTGACCAGACGTCCGAGATCAAAACTGGGAACATAATGCCCGATAGTAATGTTACAGATAGTAATGTTGCTGGTGGCAAGCCTGACTATGTTTTGAATGGATAGCGGCGGGCGGGGCGGTTGGCGTAGTGGTGAAGGGGATTAAGGTTCTAATTTCTACTCATTTCCATTGACAGCAACATTGCCCAGCACCATTGCTCTAAAAGTTGCTCCTTGTATCATCAGCTTTAAAGTCTTTTGTTGCCCCTGTTGAAACCTGGCATTTAATTTGAAATGGACATATTATTCTCAAACAACAATAAAATTTCTCACTTCCCTATGGTAGCTATAAGGAGGGTGAGCCACCTGCACTCCTACATTTTGTGTTCCAACCTTTTTGGAAACAAGGTTGTATTTCCTGACATTTGTACTGCCATAGACAATATCTTCCCATTTAATGTGACATAGTGCTCTGCTAACAGAAATCACACAAGTTCATTGTATCAAAAAACTGTAACACATTATTAAAAGGCGTCAGTGGGCATGTACTTTTAGTTTTGTTAATTTAATTTAATGTTAAACTGATAACACTTCTGAACTTTTACTTAGTAGTCCAGTAGGATTTTGAATCGGGGACTTGCTATGGAGTAGTTTTACATTGTGTTTAAATACTTTTACTTAAAGAATCTAGGCACTTCTTCAGAATCTATTTTGATTCTATGTTGAAACACAATAAAACAGCAACTTTCACAGGGATGATAACTTTGCAGTCATGGTCTTGTGACTGTCACCTACCTGTCATTCAGGCGTACGTAATGGATTTTTTTTTTGACCTCTTTGTCTCGTCAGATGAAGAAATCTGAGCCGTTTACAAAGCCCTGCTGAGAGACATACCTGAAGTGATGGATGCACAAAGATTGCAATAAAAACCATGACGTCTGGCCTTTATAATGTTGACATTGTTTACTAGTTCATCTTGTTCCCAATCAAGTTTATTTTTTGCCAGAAAGCCTGAGGCTGTTTTTGCCAGATCATTCCTCAGCAGGCAGAAGTACTCATCAGTGTCTCGGTCCAGTTGTCAGCGTAGATGCACAGAGATAAAAGGTGAGTCAGCACAATTCAGCTGCTCTGCATCTCCAACAAGAACAGATCTGTGATGTATATTTCCTTTGTAACTTCACGATGAATCCTATGGAAGAAATTAAACGTGTCATTGTTTGAAATGTCCAACCCAAAAGGATATATAGCAGTTAAAATGCTGCTTACATCCTAATACATTAATAGGGGTGGAGGTAGAGCAGGAGGCTAATCGGATAATCTGTGGTTCGATTCCCCCAGCTGAAATCGCTCCATTGGTGTAATGATAGTTGTGATTGGGTTACATACTGTAAAAGCACTTTGAGTGGTCGGAAGACCATACAAGTACTTGCAGTGATAATAACCATATAATATAAATAATAATATGTATGGGATGGTTCAGCAAAACAATTACTTTTACTTTTGATACAAGTGTATTTCAGTTCATTTTAATAGAAATGAACTGCCTTGATGGAGGAAACAAATTCATTAGTCACACCTGTAAGACAAGACGTCTGGCGATGATGATGGTATTCACATTTAATTCAATTAGACTTCTGTGCAGATTAAAATGTTTTGCTAAAAGAGTGACTGATTTGACAAGTGGGTTTAGGCCACTGTGCATTGGGTTCAGAGAATGGGGTTTAGTGTTTTAGCAATTGTGAAAAACTGCATTTGAAACCATATGAGAAGGTGAACAGAGCCTCAGAGAAATGTGGGGTCACTAGACAAAAGAGAGCATCCTTGCATTGGCTGCCTGTTTCTTTTAGGATTGATTTTTAAATGATTTAAGGCCCGGCATGGGCTGGCACCTTCCTATATCTCTGAGCTTTGATCCTCCTATGAGCCAGGACCTCTTCACTCTGAAACAATCTACCCCAGGACCTCAGGCTCACAGTGTGTCCCCAGTTTAATCTCATTTCTTAAAACACATTTTAACAAAAACACTTTTACACTGTGATGCCTATTTAAATTATTTTGATTTGTTTTACTTTGAATCTTGTAAAGAACTTTCTTACCTGTATTGAAAAGTTCTACACAAATAAAGCTTTATTATTATTATGACAAAAAGGTTGAATTTGTAATGACACATTGTATTTTTGAAGCTTTATCATGTTTTTAATGTAAAATCTTTCTTATTATTAATCTTATTTAAAAAAGTTACTAGTTGCTATAAATGTAAGTACAAAAAGTACAAGTAAAGTACGCCAATATTGCACTTGAGTAAATATACTTGCCTTAGAAAGGGGACATTTTTGATGTTTGTGAAACTGGTGATAGGTGAGGTGTTGGGCGTGTCATTGGACATGTATGTGGGTGTTGGAAGTAGACAGAAGAGGAGGGAAGAAAAGAGAGGGAGAGGAGAAAAAGGGTATTTATGCTGATGCAGATCTGATGATCTGTACTTACAGTTATGGCTTTCTACAAAGTGATCTGTGCTGCGATGCTGCTGACTCTCCTGACACAAGGTAAGGACACTCCTCATTGTACACACCTGAACCAATCATGTTTGAGATCTGATGACTGCTGTATGAGGAGGAAGTAGAATATTTTAATTAAGTAAGAGTAGTTGTTAAGAGGAAAAAGTATCACATGTAAGTTGAAATCCAGCATTCAAATTGAACGTTTTACAAATTGTAGCAATAAAAAATACAAAACCAAATTGTCACGCTGAATCAATGTTTAAAGAGATAAATCTGAGTGAGGAGCAACTATTTTCTGATGAATGAATTGGGATAGAAAAACTTTTGCACTGAACCCATGACTTAATTTAGCCTGATTTAAAACGTTGCCTGGATTCATTAAAAATAAATAAAACGTACATTCACAACATTTCCAATGACTGCTTCACTGCAATTGTGGTCCATGTGACAATAAAGACATGTACCTATTATCTAATCATAGCAGGTAATTATTGTGTATGCGTTCAGGAAGCAGTTGTGGGAAATCATTTCTGTCAGTCCTTTCCTGTTTGCATTGACCTGCTGAGACCTTTTTGTTTTTTGCATACCTTTGGGGTTTTCCTTATAAAGTTGTCATTCAAGTTTCAACATCCAGGAATCAGCACAACCTCAGTTAATTATATTATCTTCATAACCTCCCTGTTGAGTCTTCTGAACTTAAAGTGCAGCCTATTTGATCTCTTAACGTGTTTGTATTTATTGCAAGACTGTGTGTAATGTGATTCGGATTTTTTATGAAACTATACCTACCACAACTGCAGTTTGTTCTTCTGATCGACAAGCCAGTTTTAATTTTTTACTAGTTTTAAGTTGATCTAGATTTTGAGATACTGATATATTTCCCGAAGTGGTAAGCCCTGTCTTCATGTAAAAAGACCTATTGAAGTCTGTTTAATAACTCATAATTAGATTTAGTTTTATTGTGTGATGTGACTATTAAAGACACCAAACAACTTCAACCATAAAACTGAGAAATTAGGTGTATGAGATTAAAGGCAGCTTTTTGTGTGTGTGTGTGTGTGTGTGTGTGTGTGTGTGTGGGTGTGTGTGTGTGTGTGTGTGTGTGTGTGTTTTCCTTTTGTTAGAAAGTATCTGTTGTTTAAAGTTAACCTTAACTACTTTTAAGGAGGTTTTGGCATTAATTAAGTTACTTAAAGGAACGTGCGGTTTGTAGAAACTAAGTTGATGTGACAAAAACACAATTCAAGAATTCAAGTCCATTAATTCTGCAATTTAAAGCCACCAAGAAATGACATTACCATGAATGTGAAATGTGAGAAGTCACTTGGGTATGGGTATTGTTGTGTATATTGATCCTTAATTTAAGCTATTTAAAGAGACCTCTTCATATCTATTCAGAGATAAGTGGATATATTAGACAGATAGATCAGAGGAGCAGATAATTTTCAAGTCAACTTGGAGCTAGACCTTATAATGTCCCTTGCAAGACCTTAACTGATGTGAAAAAATCTGTTCTCTGATCAGTGAGCACAGTGACTCATTCCATCATGTCACAGAAAATCCTTTCATTATTTAATGTAGTGGATGAAGGACTCAACCAGGTTTTTATTTGAAATAAAGTATGCAATTCTCTGACATACGTTAACATTTACAAATATAATTTAAACCAAACTCAAAGATAAGATAAATATACTTAACTGTCTCCATAGGGAAATTAGTTTTGGACTGCAGCTTTGCAAAATCAACACAAAAACTGCAATAAAATAGACATTTCAAAACACACACTCATGCAACACAACATGCTCTCATACATAAGACAGGTACCTATATAAATATGCACAATAATTCCTTCTCACAATGGCAAAAATGTTTTTTAATTGCACAATTCATGCAGCCTGCATTCCCCACAATAAATGTTGCGTGGCCCAAATAGCCTGCAATGTACAATGAGAGATATTGCACAACCCAGGGACGTCAATAGGATTGAAAGACAAAGGAGGCTTAGCCGCCAGGGTATGCATAACTTGACTTATGTCAATAACCAGCGAAGAAGCCAAGATTTTAACATGAAAAAAGCGAAATTTAAATTCTCTTCATCCATTTCTCCTTGAACAAAAGTTACTGTAATGTTATCTTTTAAACATGTCAAAGCTGCGTGGGGGGGAATTCACAGACTGAGTTCTTCTGTAGGCTTTGACTTAAAGGCTATCCAGCTGCTCATGTAAATGTGTGATAAAGTAATACCAAAACTAATTCCTCTCGCTATTAGATAAGTTTCAGGTTCAAAGAATGCTATTTAATTACATCAATTACTGCACTGTAGATTTGTTCAATCAGAGTGTGATTTTTTTCCGTAGTTTGGCTTGCATACAAGCATTCAACAAATACTTTTCATGTAAACTGTTGATAAGGATCACAGCACAGTTGACACATTTCACAACCCAAAAATTCCCTCCAATAGTCTTGGAACAGAAGGCAAATTCCTTTGTTTTTGTTGTTCACTGAAGACATTTGGGTTTAAGATCAAGATGAGTATGAGACAAGAGTTCAGAATTTCAGCTTTCATTTCCTGGTACTCACATCTAGACGTGTTAAACAACTCAGGACATACCACCGTTTGTGTTAGACCACAGCATTCTTAGGTGAGCAACAGTAATGGAACAAGTAATTTTAAAGTAAATAACATTTAATATTTGGTGGCAGAACCCTCTCTTGCAATAACTGCCTCAAGCCTGCGACCCATCGACATCACCAAACTGTTGCATTCTTCATTTGTGAAGCTATTCCAGGCTTTTACCGCAGCTTCTTTCAGTTCTTGTTTGTTTCGGGGTGTTTCTCCCTTCAGTCTCCTCTTAAGGAGGTGGGTTAAGGTCAGCTGATTGACTTGGCCAGTCTAAAACCTTCCACTTTTTTGATTGTCTGTTTGCTTTGTAACGTTCAATGTAGATTTATTGGTATTCAGGTAATGTTACACAGCTTCTCCACCGTCTCAGTCGCTGTAACTAATGTGACCCACATAGCGTACAACACTTCAACAAAACGGCAGCAACAACATTGAGGAAGAGCCATCCACTACAGTAAAGTTACTTACTGCGGTCTAGGGCTGCCCCCGACTAAGGATTTACATGGTCGAATCAGAATCGTCAAGTCCTTTATCATCAATTCATTTACTGAAAGTTTTATTCTTTTTATATGTTTATTTACAGCATTAAACATTTTTAATAGGCTGTATATTAACTCACCAATACATTTAGCTGTGTTGACAATGCTGAGCCTCCAGTGAAAGACACACAGATAGTAAAGTTAGTTACTGAGAAGCAGCAGGCGAGCTAACGACGTAGCATGTCAACTAAATGCAGTAAATACACCGTTATCATGTAACCAGTATGGATTAGTTCAACGTCAACGTGCGCTGTATGAAAGGTACGGAGCCTGTGTTGATCTGCCTCTGAGACGGGAACTTTGAAATAACAGAGCCTGAACATGTCTGGAGAAAAGCCACATCCATGCAGGGATATTAAAGGAGGATATCAGCTGACACTTAAATTTTAGTTTTTGAAGCCTTACCTTGTCATAATCATTTCTATGGGAATTTTAAAACTGCAAATTTATTTTCTGTAACTGTCTGTTAGTTGAGTTGTTTGTCACTTTTTTAAATAATGGTCAAATAAATGTTACAGATTATCACACAATTACTCGCATTTAAATATTACGTCAGTGTAGTAAGAAATATATCAGTAAATATAAATACAAAGTAGTTGTTTCAAGAATGTTTTTTGTTTATTTTCCATTTTCAGAGTGTCACTCACAACTAGATGGTAAGTTAAAGTTTCTATGCTCACTTTTTTACTTCCTGTCCGTCTGTGATTTAGGAAATTTAAAACGTGTTTTCTATATCACTCACTCTGTGTCTTTGTCTCTGTCCTCAGTTTGTGGTCAGCCAACACTCAACACCAAGATTGTTGGAGGACAGGTGGCCTCTGCAGGCAGCTGGCCCTGGCAGGCCAGTCTGCAAACCTCTGGGTTCCACTTCTGTGGAGGATCCCTCATTAACAATCAATGGGTGCTGACTGCTGCTCACTGCTGTGCAAGGTAAGCAGTGAGGTAGGGCGGGGGTCACGTCCATTACAAGTAGCTCTAGAGATAACCAGAAATGTTTAACGAGGCACAGACATATCCTGTTTAAAGCATCAATTATTGCAATTTTATGACAAATGCAAAAATGTGTGAAAACACTGTGACTCCAAAACTTAATGTACCTTTAAATCAAAAACATTTTGTTCCCTGAACCTAATCTCTATAAATAGATATCAATGCAGAAACTGTTGGCAAGCGACAAGATTTTGGTAACAGAAGTGTATGTGGTTTCTGTTTGTCTGTTTATAGCCTGACTAGTGTTGACCAGTCATGTTTGAGTTAGCTTTGGTTGCATGCAGGTACATGCAGTCCGTGTGAGAGCAAAAGAAGCGAAATGCATTGGCTGAAGACGATTTAGCTTTTATTAGTTTTGTTAACTGGCTACTTGTGGAACATTCCAGGCGTAGACCTCGTTTCTGACCTATATTCTCGCATCTCAAGTTGATATTCGGACTGTAAACAATTATTTTTGACTTGTACTTTGGAAGAAAAGATTGTTGTAAAAAAACTTTAATGATTTTGCAGATCTTTTTTATTTTATAAAGATTTAAGTTTAGTTTTCAGGAGATCTATGCAGACTGAGTGGGAAATTATTATTTTGAGGAAACAAATTTATGTAATGAGGACTTGAGATCATGAAAAAGTATACTGAGCACATAAATGACTAACTTGTGGAAATGATATCTCCCTGATGCCACATCTGTCAGGATTCATACAAACTAGACTAGACGTGGTCATAAAATGGACTTAGTCTCTTCTTTTCATGTCTTTGCACTCGTGTTTCTCTTCTGATTACAGAACAGGCATAACCACGAACACTCTGACTCTTGTTCTGGGTCTCCAGAGTCTGCAGGGATCAAACCCCAATAAAGTGTCTCAGTCAGTATCACAAATCATCATTCATCCCAACTATAACTCCATCACTAATGACAACGACCTCTGCCTCCTGAAGCTCTCCTCACCGGTGATTTTCACCACCTACATCCAGCCCGTCTGCCTGGCAGCCCAAGGCAGCACCTTCTACAGCGGCACTGGAGCCTGGGTCACCGGCTGGGGCACCATTGCAACTGGAGGTTGGTCAGAAATCTCCTGGAGTAGATTTATTTTCGCATAATGTGTGATTGCAATGGTGACTTAAATGAGCAAAAATGAACTTGTGTATGTAATGTGTATTATTCATCATAAAACATTGGCAAAGCAAATTTTGTAATATAAATTATGCATTGTTCGCGTCCATGTAAATTTGCATTATTGTTCTTCTTCATTGCCTTTGTTGGTTTGTGTTACCTGCTAGTGGTAGACATGTTTTTTGGGAGGGGTTTACTAGATATTACAGTGATCAGTTTTAACATTATGACCACTGACAGTGAAGGTGAATAACTGATTATCTCATTAACATGGCACCTGTCTGTGGGTGGGATATATTAGGCAGCAGGTGCACATTGTGTCCTCAGAGTTGATAGTTGATTGTGTTAGAAGCAGGAAAAATGGGCAGAATAGTTATTTGAGCAACTCTGACAAGGGCCAATTTGTGATGGCTAGACAACTAGGTCAGAGCATCTCCAAACCGGTGTGCAGTGATCAGAACATATCAAGCATGGTCCAAGGAAGGAAAAGCTGTGAACCAGCTGTTTTGGCCGCAAAGGGAGGCCTACATTTGGACCAGCAGGTGGTCATAATGTTGTCTGATCGGTATATAACATCTGTATTTAAAGCTGGCCAGTAACAGTTTAAAATGAGATTTTCTGTCATTTAAGATGGGACAAACATGTTAACATTTCAACAACCAGAACTTTTTTGAAGTTTCTTGGTGGGCCTGTTCTTTGGTTTAGCGATGTAACTTCTGGTTATATCTTTAATGGACTAAATGAGTTGTTTGTTTGATTCATAGAGAACCTGGTAATACTTGAGTTGGGCCACAGTCTTACTGATGTATTAAACAGTCCATTTTGTGTGAAACAATTTAAATCACATTTCACTAAGTGTGTTGTTTACTAAACTGAATTTGTGTCTCTTCAGTGTCCCTTCCTTACCCAGGAAACCTGATGGAGGTGCAGGTTCCGGTTGTGGGGAATAGACAGTGTAACTGTAACTATGGAGTGGGCAGGATCACTAGCAACATGATCTGCGCCGGGTTAAGTGCTGGAGGGAAGGACTCCTGTCAGGTGATTAGTTTTACATCCTTGTTTGTGTCAGATCTTCTGCAAATATTCCTTCTCTTAAAGGTCCAGTGTGTAATATTTAGAGGATCTATTGACAGAAATGCAATATAAGATACAAAACTATGTTTTCAGTGATGTATAAAGACCTTATATAGTAAACCATTATGTTTTTATTACCTTAGAATGAGACATTTATATGTACATTACCGCGGGCAACCCCTTCCTTTGACGTCGCCACGTTGCATCGTCGTATTTCTACAGTAGCTGAAAACGGAAAACAGCGCTAGAGAACGTGTTTTGTCATTCTTCTTGTTCTACTTCTTGTTCTACAACTAGAATTCAGGCAGTGCGGTTACTCATCACTATGTTGAATACGTACATTAGAAGAAAAAAAAGTAGTACTAATATACTGCAGGGGTCTGCAAATAAGTTTTGGATCAGAGCAATACTTTAAACCATTAGATGGTGGATGAGAATATAAGCCATAATGTTACCCTGCTTCAATATGTATTTTGGTTATCTTTTTGATAAGGCACAGGTTTCAAAACCAAAGGATAGGGGGTTCAAATCCACCTTGGGACATTTTTTTTTTTCTCTCTGCAACAAATGGATTCTGCAGCAAATGTTTGAGAGATCACGGCATGTGCTGCACTATTTTTGTTTCGGTGTTTGATCCTCATCCATCAATTTAAGGACGCTTTTTCATTTCCCCAGTATCTCCAGGCAGAGAAAATTCAGGGGAATCACATTTTCTGACGGCTCTTTCAGAGGTGTGTCAAGCAGGCTACAGACTCTTTAGTGTTATTCAGAATTTGTCAAAGTAAAAGCTCAGTTCAACTTCAAATAGAAGATTGCCATAAACAAGCTTTCTCGCGTTTTTATTTTGTAGGCAAAACCACTAAAGAGGAAGTGATTATGTGAGCTGAACTGTTGCTGTCATGACTGAGATCTATTTTTAAGAAAAGCTATCAAAATATTTATTTATTTATATTTTTTGCCGCTATTAAAGCACCATAATCTGGCAATGGGCCAGATATTATTGTTGCCAGGCAGTTTTGGCGAGGGCCCATAATCACAGAGAGAATTAATGTGTTTCCATTGTCAATGTTTGTATACACTTTATTTAATATGTGGTTTATAATGGACTCTGATGCAGAGACAGTGTTTCACACTCTTGGCTTACATTTTCCATGTCACATCTGTCAGTGGTAAAGTCGCAATATGGTTTTACTGAATAATTAAGTAATATAATTTCTTAATAAATCTACCTAAAGAAACCTAATTTCTTGACTGGCCACTCTCTGCTGTCTCAAAAGACACCATAGTTGTCTTACCCTCTTTGAAAGGTTAGGGGGCAGAGGTAGGCTGGATAGAATGTTGCAATTCGCAACCCTCACCACTAGATGCCGCTAGATCTTACACACTGAAACCTTAAATGTTCTGTCTCAAAAGGGGGATTCAGGAGGTCCGCTGTTGAGCAAGCAGGGCGGCCGCTGGATCCAGGAGGGAATCGTGAGTTTTGGAATAGGCTGTGCCCTGCCTAATTTTCCAGGAGTCTACACAAGAGTGTCCCAGTATCAGTCCTGGATCAACAGCCAGATCGCCAGCAACCAGCCAGGCTTCATCACCTTCACTTCCACTGAGACTGACAGTGACGTCAGTGTCAACTGTTCTGGCCTGCCACCAATTACAACCACCCTCGCTCCAACAACCCTCACTGCAACAACCCTCACGCCAACCACCCTCACTCCAACAACCCTTACTTCAACCACCCTCACTCCAACAACCCTCACTGCAACAACCCTCACGCCAACCACCCTCACTCCAACAACCCTTACTTCAACCACCCTCACTCCAACAACCCTCACTGCAACAACCCTCACGCCAACCACCCTCACTCCAACAACCCTCACTGCAACAACCCTCACGCCAACCACCCTTACTCCAACAACCCTTACTCCAACCACCCTTACTCCAACAACCCTTACTCCAACCACCCTAACTCCAACAACCCTTACTTCAACCACCACCACTACAACCACCACCACTACAACCACAGTCACTCCAACTACCCTTACTTCAACCACTCTAACTCCAAACATCACCTCTACAATACCTCGCACTCGGACCACCCGCACTTCAACCACCCGCACTCCAAACAAACGCATTCCAACCACCCGCACTCCAAACAAACGCTTTCCAACCACCCGCACTCCAAACAAACGCATTCCAACCACCATCAAGCCAACCACCCGCACTTTGACCACTATCCTTCCAAAATCCCGCACTTCGACCACCATCACTCCAACATCCCGCACTTCAACCACAATCCCTCCAAAATCCCGCACTTCGACCACCATCACTCCAACATCCCGCACTTCAACCACAATCCCTCCAACATCCCGCACTTCAACCACCATCACTCCAACATCCCGCACTTCAACCACCATCACTCCAACATCCCGCACTTCAACCACCATCACTCCAACATCCCGCACTTCAACCACCATCACTCCAACATCCCGCACTTCAACCACCATCACTCCAACATCCCGGACTTCAACCACCATCACTCCAACATCCCGCACTTCAACCACCATCACTCCAACATCCCGGACTTCAACCACCATCACTCCAACATCCCGCACTTCAACCACCATCACTCCAACATCCCGCACTTCAACCACCATCACTCCAACATCCCGCACTTCAACCACCATCACTCCAACATCCCGCACTTCAACCACCATCACTCCAACATCCCGGACTTCGACCACCATCACTCCAACATCCCGCACTTCAACCACCATCCCTCTTACCACCCGCACTTCAACAACCATCTCTTCAATAACCCGCACTTCGACCACCATCACTCCAACATCCCGCACTTCAACCACCATCCCTCTTACCACCCGCACTTCAACAACCATCTCTTCAATAACCCGCACTTCGACCACCATTGATCCAACAGCCCTCTGTAAGTGCCTGCCATGTTGATTTTTAACATCACATTCTAAAGAAACAAGAGAGTATGGTATGAAACTTCTCATGTAACTTATGCATTTCATTAAATGACAAACTATTCATTTCAGGCATGAGGAAGTACTGTCCATATCACATTTGTTGAAAATAATGATAATAATAGCTAAAAGAACATTATTTTCTGTGGTTTCACAAAACGTTGGGCTTGAACATGTTTGTCTTGCTTGTTTGTTCAGGATGATTCTGGCGGGTTCAATAATGTGTGAGCAGGGCCGCTCCTGGTTTCAGACAGCAGTGTTATCATTTGGAAGCAATCCACGAACATCACCAGCAACAACACCAACAGCCAACAATATAACCACCACCAGTGGGGCCACTCTTGCTCACTCTACCTTCTTTTTCTTTTCATCATCTTCTCTGTGTTAGAAATTCTGGACGCTAAGTGCTTTCTCTATAAAATGAAGGGGGTAAAATGAAACTATAGGGACCATAAGGATATCTGCATCTGTTTATAATGATTTTCATTTAATACAATTAAAAATATATAAGATGTAATCTATAATTTATAATTAATTAATCTATAAATATATATAGATAGATAGATACATTATGCACAAGACAAAATGATGATTTGTTTACATAAAAGCTCCCCCTCAAATAACTGAAAACAGGATGGTATTTATTGATTATATGGCAGATTAAATTACTTTGATATAATTTCCTACAGTCATTGCCAAATTAATTGAAGAAAAACTTAAAGCAGCATATTTTAGAGGTCAGAGGAACAGCAACAATGGTCAGCCTCTCCATCATCTACCTCATATTATCAGAGCTACTGTACCATTATGTACATTTCCATCTGAAGTGAACATGCAGCATTTGTAGTAAAAAAAACTTAAGCTGATGATTATTTGGTTAGAAAGATAAATGTCAGTTTTAATTATTGCCTAGATATGCCATGAAAAACTGTGCTGTAGATGTGAAATGTGCTGAACAACTTCCACCTTTATCTTTTTGTTTCATAATAACCTGCTTTTAAATAAATTTAAAAAGTGTGACCAATTCGTGTTCAACTGCAACCTAAATGTTCTGTTAGGGAACAGCCACACCAGTCAGCACACTTAATCCAGAGTCCAGAACACATTTAATCATAAATCCTCACATTTATTTACGAACAATTAAAAATACACTGATAAAAAATAGTCATAACACATTTAAGCTGACCCCACATGTAATAAAATCCCACTAATGTACTCGGTCCATTTGGAAACAATTAGTCCATTCTGGCAGTTTGTGATTCTTTTGACTGAGTGGAAAGCAACCTGCATCGCTCTTTAACCCTTGTGTTGTCTTCCCGTCGACCATGCACTTTTTGTTTGCCTGGTTTTAAAGCATCCAGTTTAACTTATTACACCTTCTTAGCCAACTCCATTCCAACTCATTACCACTATTTTTACACTTCTTGGTGGAATTCATGGTCAATATGTCTCTTTTATATGAAACTATACCAAATTTATAAGCTAAAAAAAGCAGAAATTATGAATTCTTTTGACTAATAGTTATGATCAGAGGACTATATGTTAATAGATTATCACAGACTAGTATACGTAAAAATTTTTCTTAGGCAAATTCTGAGGCGTCTCTGTTCCTGTCCCAGTTGCTAGTAAGTTACAAACTGAACGGTCAGCCTCCTGTTTTTTTAGCTAAAAACCCACCTATGTTGATGTTCAAGTTCATCTTAATTACATTTAATCAGGCACCACTCTCGCCCAAGTGTATCTGCTGCAGGTTTATTAAGTGTTAACACAGCTACACAAATCGGACACATTAAAAATCAAAATCAATATTTTTCCATTTAGTTTTTAAAACAGAAAAACAAAAACGATGTCTGTTTTGTTGTTTTCTGTTTTTCTGTTTTGGAAACGTTTTGTTTTTTTTCCGATTTGGTTTAGAAACGAAATAAAGAAAGAAACCATGCAAAGATTTTTCTGGTTTTTGCCTTTCTTATTTATATCAAAAAAATATATATACGGTTAAAACGTACCTTGGACTTCATTATTAGCTGCATAGCCTATATTCTGAAAGTGTCTTCACAGCATTAATAAAGATTTTATTGAAGTAAAATAGACGTCTAAAACTTTACAGTCAGTTTGTATTTTCATAATCAGGTAACTGATTGCCACTGGCATTTTTTCCTGTCAGGTTAAAGTTTGTGCAGACTACACGATATTGAGCGTCGGACGTTGGCCGTGCTGCTCACACTACACAACTTGCCATCTTGTGACAAGAGTCTTGAAGTCAATGTCGCCAACCTACACACAAAACAGCTGATTTTTGTTATTATAAAGATACCAAATATAAAGACAAGAAATCTGGGTGAAAGAATGGATTAGCACATTCAGGTAGCCGGGATTGTCTGAGCTACAGAGAGAGCTGGTGGGGAGTAAAAACTGTTTTGCAGTGAAAAAGTAGCTGCCTGCTCTCATAGGCTGGATGTGGACGTCGAGTCGGCCGACTCCTCCTAGATATCTGGCAGATGTAGGCGATGTGTCAGAAATGTGTAGGGGAGCCGCTTTGATGCATTGTTGAGTAGTTCACACATAACGACTGGCGACTGGTGATCGACCGCTGATTTACGTAGCAAGCAGACAATGATACATTTTGAGACGTCCCCAGCCAACAAGGTTGGGAGGAACTCCTTTAAGATGCATGGGAGAAAATTAGTTAGGTTAAATTAGTTTTGGCTTCATTTTAGGTTTATTTTTTGCCCTAACTAGCTAAAGAACCCACCAGAAGTGAGTGCCCCAAGAGCCCCTCTGGCAAGTCAGGGGCCAGAATGATATTCTGTTTAAACCAGCTATAATTTCTATTTTAATAATAACAAAAGTAATTTGGCATGTGAAAACACTGTAAGTCCCTAACTTACTGCACTTTTATATCAATTAATGTGTTCCCTCAAGCTAGTCTCTATGAAGGGATGTCTGCACATGTAACCCATTCCCACTCCCAAGTCGTCACATGGACACATAGTCAAGACCCCTGCGTGTCAGTTTATATCCTAACCCAGATGGGCAGCGCAGCTGTTGGTCTGTCTGTGTCTTGGTTGCTTTCCAGCCTTTGTGTCTGAACAATGAAATACTACAGTTTATTATTTTTTTGAAGCAACATGCGGCCGTGTTCCTGTGAAACTGTCTTGTACAGGAAATGTACACGAGGGAATTCACTTGGCAGAGCATAGCTAGATATATTTGGTAAAGTTATGTATAATTTTAACTTACATAAAAATAAATAGGCTACAGCTGTACAGTGCATGCCGTTGCCATGGTTACATCCATAGAGCGTCTGCCGTTTACTAACGGAGCGCTTGTCTCCCTGTCTGTTCACCTGAGAAGCGTGGAGCGACCCCACAGGGCCAAGTGACTACGCAGGCGGAGTGTCGCTTCCCATGTGAAAAGACCTATAATCTGCTGCTGCGGGCGGACGTGTGCATGAGATGAGCACGATTGCAACAGTTTTTACGGGAACGTACACACTTGTTACTATGCCTGTCAGGTCAAATCCACACTACAGCTTTTCATTTTAAATCGGATACCATTTGCTACGTTCGCATCTCCTGACTAAAATGGCGAAGACCTAACTGAAGAAGTCCTTTGGATGAGGGACAAAACGTCTTCCAGTATCTTCAACCAAAGTCCAGTTGCCCTTGATTTTAACCTTCGTTGGATAACTATGACCTGGATGACTGAGAATCTTCATAGACATCAATGAATGAGCACTTAAGTGATATAAAATAATAATTATAATAATAATAATAATAATAATAATATAGTATTATAGTACTGTATATATAAGGGCTGTGATGAGATCTCGCGTCTGCTTATGATATTAAAATGTATGTGACAATATTTCTCATTGAGGTAAAAGCTACTTACCAATATCAAAGCTGCCAACTCTCACACATTTCACACACTATCACGCCACATATCAGTTTTATAACGCAGTGAAAAACAAATGTAGAACTGATAACGTTGGATCGTGGTGCAAGTAATACCCATCTAGCTGATGTGACACGCTGTACACCATTAAAGTTATCAACGGGACCCTCCTCTCTGTGAGTCGCAGACAGTTTGTGGCCCAGCAGTATCTGGTAAAAAAACTGAGGCGCAAACGAGCTGTGTTTGGGGCTGTGAGCTGCAATTTATAGGAGAATTTAACATTTCTGAGATTTCTGCCTGGTCACAAGTGTTTGCAGTTCATTTCCATTTAGCAGCTGATGTTATTGTTTCAAATCAATCAAGTGTTTGATTTGATTTGATTTGATTGAGTAACTACAGACGTGCTCAAATTTGTTGGTACCCTTACAGCTCATTGAAATAATGCTTCATTCCTCCTGAGAAGTGATGAAATTAAAAGCTATTTTATCATGTATACTTGCATGCCTTTGGTATGTCATAGAATAAAGCAAAGAAGCTGTGAAAAGAAATGAATTATTGCTTATTCTACAAAGATATTCTAAAATGGCCTGGACACATTTGTTGGTACCCCTTAGAAAAGAAATAATAAATAATTGGATTATAGTGATATTTCAAACTAATTAGTTTCTTTAATTAGTATCACACATGTCTCCAATCTTGTAATCAGTCATTCAGCCTATTTAAATGGAGAAAAGTAGTCACTGTGCTGTTTGGCAAGCCACAATCCTTCTGGGAGAATGTCCTTTGGACAGATAATTCAAAACTGGAGCTTTTTGGCAAGTCACATCAGCTCTATATTCACAGACGAAAAAATGAAGCTTTCAAAGAAAAGAACACCATACCTACAGTGAAACATGGAGGAGGCTCGGTTATATTTTGGGGCTGCTTTGCTGCGCCTGGCACAGGGTGCCTTGAATCTGTGCAGGGCACAATGAAATCTCAAGACTATCAAGACATTCTGGAGCGAAACGTACTGCCCAGTGTCAGAAAGCCCTGTCTCAGTCGCAGGTCATGGGTCCTCCAACAGGATAATGACCCAAAACACACAGCTAAAAGCACCCAAGAATGGATAAGAACAAAACGTTGGACTATTCTGAAGTGGCCTTCTATGAGTCCTGATCTGAATCCTATCGAACATCTATGGAAAGAGCTGAAACTTGCAGTCTGGAGAAGGCACCCATCAAACCTGAGACAGCTGGAGCAGTTTGCTCAGGAAGAGTGGGCCAAACTACCTGTTAACAGGTGCAGAGGTGTCATTGAGAGCTACAGAAAACGTTTGATTGCAGTGATTGCCTCTAAAGGTTGTGCAACAAAATATTAGGTTAGCGGTCCCATCATTTTTGTCCATGCCATTTTCATTTGTTTTATTATTTACAATATTATGTTGAATAAACAATCAAAAGAAAAGTCTGATTTCTATTAAATGTGGAATAAACAATGGTGGATGCCAATTACTTTTGTCAGTTTCAAGTTATTTCAGAGAAAATTGTGCATTCTTCGTTTTTTGTGGAGGGGTACCAACAAATTTGAGCACGTCTGTATGTAATTTGACTTTTTGAAGTTTTATTGGAGTATTAAAGTGACTGAACTGTCCAAAAAATATATAAACAACATTGTGGTAAAGTTCTGCTACTAGCACAGACAATACTAATGTATTTAATTATATATAAAATTAACAAGGAAAAGGGTTAAATAGAAAATAAAGGTGTGAATGAGTACATAAAAGGTCCACTAGCTGGCAGCAATGGATAAGAAATACACCAGTAGGACACACTGAACATGTCTTTCCTGTTTGTTTGTTCAGGGTGATCTGGCCGTGAGCAGGGCGGCTCTTGGTTCCAGGCAGCACTGTTATTAGTTGGAAACAACGCCACCAACAACGCCTCCTTCCTGTCTCAGACAGTGGTGACGTTCTTAATTTCAGCAACAACAGCACCACAAGCACAGCTGCATCCAAATAAACCAACTATACATTTCAGTTGTAAAGTAACTCATTGCCTGTACTGTACGCATACTGATCATGTTACTGTTGTGCAAAGTCACCCCCCATTCTGAACCAGGAAAAACCCTGACTACTATCACATGTCA